GCTCTGTCCTTTCTTCTAGACTGCTTCACTGTTGAGTCTCATGTCCAGTCTGTTGTCCAGATGAACACTGAGGTATTTATATTCCTCAACCACCTCCACTTCTTCTCCCATGATGGAAACAGGGTTTGATCTAGCACTATTTCTCCTGAAATCTACAATCATCTCCTTTGTTTCATTCACATTCAAGATGAGATYATTTTTCCCACACCATGCAGTCCACCAGCTCTCTGTACTCCGCTTCCTGTCCATCTCTGATACGCCCAACAACTGCAGAGTCATCTGAGTATTTCTGTAGATGACAGCAGTCTGACTTGTGCTGGAAGTCTGAAGTGTACAGTGTGAACAGGAATGGTGAGAGTACAGTTCCCTGTGGTGCTCCCATCAACAACTATTGTCTGCTTCCGGAGTCCCACAGGCCAAAAAGACCCGATAGGACTCCTTCTTCAGCCTGACAGCATCCTTCACCGCTGGTGTCCACCAGCGGGTTCGAGGGTTGCCGCCACGACAATCACCGACAACCTAACGGCCAGAGCTCAGGTAAGACGCTTTGACAATGGAGGCATGGAACATGGCCCACTCGGACTCAATGTCCCCCACCTCCCCTGTAACATGTTCGAAGTTCCCCCCTGAGGTGTGAGTTGAAGCTCRGTCTGACGGGAGACTCTGACAGATGTTCCCAATGCTGGCTGCAAGAGCACCTGGAGGATAAAATGATCAAAACAGTAGTTTAAAGTGGAAGTTAGCAAAACTGTAACTAAAAGACACAACTAGCAAAACAGTAGCTAAAAACTACAATTATCAGAACACTAAAGCCAAAATTAGCAAAACAATAACTAAAAGATAAACCTTGCAAATAGTAGCCAAAAGCCAAAATTATCTGAGTATCAGCTAAAGATGAAAAATGGCAAAACAGTAGCCAGACTGTGGGGCTAACAAGATATTACCTAAAATCTAAAATTATATAAGCCATAGCTTAAAGCTAAAGCTAGCAAAACAGTAGCTAAAAGATCAAATGAGCACAAGAGAACCTGAAAGTTAAAGATTGATACCTAAATAGTTTAAGTAGCTGAAAGTATGCTGAAGAAGTTTTGAGTCTAAAAATATAGAAGAAATGACGAACAGGAAAACAATAAAGTATATTCATACTTAAAATTAAAAACTATAGTGACTGATGGTGAGAAAGGCTACAGAAGCAGTAAACAACCCTCCCCATCTCMCTGACAGTTTTTATTGTCTGTCTTGTGACTTCCTGTTTTGTAGTTACACACAGCTGGTCGGTATGGCGGTGCAGATTGCATCTGGGATGAAGTACCTGTCCTCTCTCAACTTTGTCCACCGTGATTTGGCAACTCGTAACTGCCTGGTGGGAAGGAACCACACCATCAAGATCGCTGATTTCGGCATGAGCCGGAACCTTTACAGAGGGGATTATTACCGAATCCAGGGCCGAGCAGTGCTGCCCATTCGCTGGATGTCATGGGAGAGCATCCTCCTGGTGAGAGGCTTTAAGTGTTCCTGGAACATTTCCCACCGGCAGCACTTTACAGGAGCACGTCATCTGTTTTTGTTTGCTCTCTCAGGGTAAGTTCACCATGGCCAGTGATGTGTGGGCGTTCGCAGTGACTCTGTGGGAAATCCTGACTCTGTGTAAGGAGCAGCCGTACTCACAGCTCTCTGACGAGCAGGTCATTGAAAACACCGGCGAGTTCTTCCGGGACCAGGGCAAGCAGGTGAGTTTGGAGCAGGTGTTAGCTCCTGCAGTGAAGACTGTGTCCTGCTGTTTTCATCATGCACACTCTTTGTTCTGCTGCAGAATTACTCTCATGTTCTCAAACGTCTCATTAGGGATTTTAATGTCATATCCGCTGGGTTGCTTCTGAAATTTTTAACATTTTGTTTAAAACCTGGCAATTGATTTTAATGTTTTGGTATTTTTCTTTATATTTTGCACAGCATTTAATGTGGCCGTGAGTGCATCAGAGATGTATGTCTTAAAATGCTGCTTCAAAGCCAGCATTAATTACATCTCCCATGATTCATGTTGATTATTTTACCCACAAAATGACAGCATGCTACCACTAGGTGAAGGTGCACAGAGTTCAAAAGTAGCCAGTGAAATTTGCCTTCCAAAACCTCCATTTCAGCTACTTTTGCTGTGACCCAGTTGTACTGGGAAGTAGGAATTTCCCACTTAAAAACCATTAATTTAAACTGGAATGCTTCCTCCAGTGGGAGGATTCAGAATTTTAAACTGCAGCTACTCACCACAACCCAACAGTGAGTAAAACTTGTTTACTTTTAATTAGTGTTGGGCATTGATTAAAACTTTTACTCACCGTTTTTGAGAATGATCATGATTAATTGCTTTTTTTATATTAATGTGGCTGAATGTGTGTGTTGCAATACAGTCCATGTACATTTTTCTACTTTTATAGTGTTTTTGTTTTTCTTTTCTTATAGTGTCCTGATGAATCTCAGTAATCTAGGTAGAAAAAAAATCAAAAAGAAAAAATAATTGGGTCCTCTGGATGGGTTCTTCTTTAGTGAAACGTTTCGTCTCTCCTCCAAGAGACTTCTTCAGTCTGATGAGTTTCAGGTGAACTCAGCCTTATAAGCACTGCCTCCACATGGTGGACAAATAGGTTAGTCAGATGCAAAAGAGGGCCATCGCCTAACAATAGGCTTGATTAGCGCTATTGTTCATAGAGGGTCATGTGCACCATCACCTGACTTATTGGTTTGGATGCTTCAGCTGTGTGTTTTGTTATGTGTATGMAGTGAGTGCAAGCGGGATTCAACGTCCCCTTGTGTTTTTGTCTCCCTCTGTGTTTGGTATCGTTGGGACCCTGATTCACACCTTTTGCTCACAGGGGGCAGAGTCATGCTTACAATAACAACATTGTAGGAGGAGGACAACTGGACATGAAGGCCTCCACCTCTGTTTAATGGTGGATGGTTTTTCTTCACAAAGATGGCTTCCTTTACTCCTCTCTCAAACCAACGCTCCTCTCTATCAAGGATGAGAACATCTTCATCCCTGAAAGAGTGACCACTGGCCTGTAGATGAGTGTAAACTGCAGAGTCCTGGCCTGAAGATGAGTGTAAACTACAGAGTCCTGGCCTGATGATGTAGTTCGTCTGTGCTGGCTCATTCTTTTTAACAGTGGCTGTTTAGTTTCCCTGAGGTATAACTGATCACAGTCCTCCTGACACTTAACAGCATACACTATATTCCCCTTTTTTTGCTGGGGAACTGGATCTTTGGGGTGAACTAATCTTTGTCATAACGTGTTTTGGGGTTTGAAAGCCACTGGGATGTCATGTTTAGAGAATAAACATCTCAGTTTCTCTGAAACTCCCGCCACATATGGAATGACGACTGGTTTGGGTCTGGGTTTAGGGTCTTCATTTTCACCTGGTTGTTGGCTGGGATCCTGTCTGGGTTTCCTGTCTGCTTTCAGAAAAGCCCAGTTAGGATAACCACACTGCTCCAGGGCCTGTCTTGTGTGTGACTTCTCTTTCTCTCTGGCTCCTGTGTTTGTGGGAACACTGTCTGCTCTGTGGGAGAGTTCTGATGAGTTCTAACTTGTGTTCCAGTGGATGATGGGAATCACCCACTTCAGCCATTTTTCAGCCATCTTTGTGAAGAAAAACCATCCATTAAACAGAGGTGGAGGCCTTCGTGTCCTGTTGTCCTCCTCCTACAACGCTGTCATTGCAAGTATGACTCAGCCCCCTGTGAGCAAAAGGTGTGACTCAGGGCCCCAATGATACCAACACAAAGAGGGAAAAAAGACAAAAACACAAGGGGACGTTGAACCCCGCTTGCACTCACTACACATAACAAAACACCAAATAACCCCAGCRGAAYCATCRAAACCAYTAAGTCAGGTGATGGGGCACATGACCCTCTATGAACAYTAGAGCTAATCAAGCCTATTGTTAGGCGATGGCCCTCTTTTGCATGTGACTAACCTGTTTGTACATGTGGAGGCATTGCTTATAAGGCTGAGTTCACCTGAAACTCATCAGACTGAAGAAGTCTCTTGGAGGAGAGATGAAACGTTTCACTAAAGAAGAACCCATCCAGAGGACTGTTGGATTTTTTCCTCTGTAAATAGTCAAATGAATGGTCAAACAGCCCAAGTGGACCAACAAAAATCAGACAAATCAGACAAATAGTGAAAATTTGAGATACACTTTGCGCAAAGGGAGAAGTTCAAATGTGCCCAACTTAACAGCAGTTGGAAACAGAGAAGTTCTGCCCGTTTGAGCCYGAGTGATCATATTTATTAAGTTTCAGGAAAAGAGGAGTGGAAAAAAATCAGCCCACCAGCATACCAGTTACTTTTACTGTTGCTGGGTGACGGGACGGTGGGAAAACAGCTACAGTTATACAAAATACAACTGGTTCTTTTAGACAATACAAAACAGGCAGTCTGGGAATAATCTGCAGAACTTGCACCTGCCAGCGGTATTCTCACGGGTCAGGCTGAGAAAAAGGAAACATTCCCAGCATCGCTCTTAAGCCGGATAACGCACGAACATGCAAAAATAAGAGCAAAGTTGATWAACACTGTACACAACAAAACTTGAATAAATTGTTCATAAAATGAGAATAAATGAATAAAGAAAAATCATTAATAATAATATGTAAGTTCTTTCAGTAGAAAAAAAAGCTGCTGCTGCTGCTTCTTTGATAGAATGCAGCCTGCAGTTCCAGCCAGAGAGAGAGAAACAAAAGTTTTGCTTTACTTGTTAACAGTATAACTTTTTAACCAATTGGATAATCTTAATGAAACTTTCTGAAAGTAATAGTATATTAAAATCTTGAATAATAATAAAAACCTTTACAAGGACCCACTTATTTTTTTCTTTTTGATTATTTTCTTATAGTTTATTGTTGTTTTTTAATTGCAGACAACAGGGACCTCAGCCTCTACCTCCTGTTCCTCGTGTACTCATTTGGAATGACTCCTTGAATTCTTGATTAATCTCGTTATTATGCAGAAAATTAAATTATGACTCAAAGATATTTAGAGCATGATTCTCATGCGGCCCTTGGTGAAAATGAGTTTGACGCCRCTCTGCATGATGAGGGAYKCTTTAARTTCCCTTTTGGAGAATACCTTTCTAACCCGCTGTCTCCTGATGGTTTTATGCTCCCAGGTGTACCTGCTGAAGCCTCCCTGTTGTCCTGAAGGAGTCTACAGTCACCTGATGCTGAGCTGCTGGAGGAGAAACGCCAAGGAAAGGCCGAGCTTCCAGGAGATTCACACTCAGCTGATGGAGAGCGTGGCAGCGCAGATGGATGATGCATAGCAAATTATAAAATGCAAATTTGACACTTTCAGAGTCACATTTATCACTCTCACAGATACCAAATAGAAGCATCTACAGAGAGTGTCAATCTAACTGCATAATGTGTCAGAATGTGCTGTAAAAATACTATTATTTACTTTGAATTTAACAAGTGCTAAAATCCGGACTTCTCAAAACCCAAAGTAACACTTTCCATGCAGCTGTCAGCTTCATCTTGAACATATAATTTTTTCTTATCATCGTGCAAAATAAGCATAACAGAGTCAAATAAAATGTGTCACGACATGAACAGAATAAATTATGTTCAACAAATGTAGTCGGTGAGCTGCCAGTCTCAAAACAACTTGGAGATTTGGACAAAAGACTTGATTCTCATTAAAATCAGATTTTTTTGTGAAACGTTTTGAACATTTTAATCTGAAAATGCTCTGAAATCTTTTCATCATCACTCAGATTCAGTTAGAAGGCCAGCAGATGTAGGTACAGTAGGTAATCGATTAAATAGGTTGGATCAGTGTTTTTTCATGCCTCAAACTTCAAATGTATAGAAAATCAGATGGATTTCCTGCATTAAATAGATTAAAAAGCAATGATGCCACAATAACAGATGAGGGATCTTTTATCAAATGTGTATTTATGCTAGCTTTTTATTACAGTTGGGACAATAATTATTATTTTTCTTTTTTTTTTACAGAATATCTTGTTTTATAAACAGGTTTTTCTACCTTTTCGGAAATGAGTTCATTGTGTATAGTTGGGTAGTTGTGAATAAAGAGAGAAAATACTTTCTTTGWGCATGAGTCGCTTTTTAAATCGATTAGCGCATACACAGTTTTGAGCCTCTTCGCCTGCCGTAGTGGAAGCTGATTGGCTTGGCTGCTTGATGACGTCTACAGCTTGTGTTCACAGATTTATTTAAAGGCTGGATACAGTAGGTCGTCCCTGCTGTTGGCCTATGGAGACAGACGTCGTCACACGGCGGCCATTTTGGTACAGACAGCACTCCCACTCAACATGAACGTGAATTGTGTATTTACTATTAAAATAACCATAACTTCATCAATTTTCATCAGATTTTCAAATGGGTTGTTTTGTTGTAAATGTGAGACATGGTGTTATAAAATGACATATTTATAACGGGCATTCTTATAAAAATAACGTTATTCAGATAAGTAAAGTAATATGTACAGAGAAGACATTTAGATTACGTTTACAAGTTTTTACAAATAAAAATATAAAGCAAAATTATACACAAATTTATTTTAAAAAATAGTACTAGCATTGGTAATGAATATGGAAGAACCCATTTATATCTATTTTTCTCCTAAACATGCAAATAATAGCCTGTAAAATCCTTTTACATCATAAAAATAGTGCCTTACACAGAAAACCCCACAAATACACACAGAGGTTTATAGTAACTAAACATAATAAAGTAAATTTGTGGCAATATACATATTTTCTTTTAAATAAATTGATCAAATTACTTAACTTGGTTTAGTGGAACCAGTTTGGTTAAATAAATTTAACAGTTTATTTGTTAGAGAGCATGGATAAATACTTTTATTTTTTTGATTTTTGTGAACAGTTTTAAAATTTTTACTTAAGTACTTTTCTCTGTAAAATTTATTTTTACCAGTCATTTTCTGTTAAGGTAATTTTACTTTTGCTTATTTATTTCAAGCACATTGTAGACCTCCAATTGTAACACTATAATAATGTTTTAGTACTCCATTCAACAGAAATCATATTACACTTGTAGCAGCTAAATCCTTTATGTAGCGCTACTGGTTGCAGACTGTTCTGGTAGACGTAGTTTTTACGTACGCTCAATAAAACTCACTATGCCGATCTTTGTTTCCACTTATGTTACAAGTTGTTTATTCTTCTTTACATCCAGTTTGAAAGCATCCACATGATTTCTTTGAGCTCCAGACTAAGCACAGTAGAAAACTGTTTGCCCCTCCTTCTCACAACACCTGAACAGAATCACACTTAACCTTAAATAGCGCCATCCCTCACCTGTCAATTAGTACAAAAACAGAAATACAGCCCCCCCAGTGGTGATAAACAATAAAAAACAAGATATTTGGCTCCTACAACACTCATGTAATTAATTCACAATGAACATAAAATATTTATTAAAAATAACAAGGCATTCAAGAGACTTACTTAAAAATAAAAAATACATCCACACAGAACACAAAGGTGACAACTGGAAGTTTGACCCGACTCAATTTGGCCTTATGGGAAATTTTCTTTCACTAAAAATGAGCCTAAATCAGAACTAAATTTTTTAATGGATGTCATTTTACCAGATTGAAAACCAGGATTAAACCAGGTCCGAACTAGATCTAAACTGGTCTGAACCAGGTATGAATCAATTCATTTCAGAGACGTCTGCCTGCCTTCAATAAACCAACCACCACCAAAAATCTGAGTACCCGTATTTTTCGGACTATAAGCCGCACCCGCCATTAAAAAAAAATTAATAAAAATAAAAATTAAAAAATGCGTGAACATCAACATATAAGC